GAAAGCATTTTGAAATTGTTTTGCAGCATTGTAAACCATTGACCTTGAAAATGTTACATTCTTATCAATATAAGAACTCTTTCTGCCACTGTTAGACTGAAACCCAAGATGTGATGGTTTCACTTCATGTTGCATTTCTTTACCTATGTCTTTCAGAGACCAAGTACTTAAATATGAATATGCCATTTTTCTTCTTAATTTCAAACACTTTTATTCAGAACATATTTTATAATTCCTACCATATATACAATTTTGAATGACCAATTATGGATTTTCTGGAGTGTGTACTTATGGTGATCTATGAAACACAAAATACCTTCAGAGTTTGGGGGCAGTCCATGATTTTACAACTGGACTGAGGAAGATTTAAAAGTAATTGAAAGCATCACCCTTTGAATTATTAAGTTGAAATAGAAATGTTGCATGCTTTCATTATGATTCTTTATATAAATGGAGAGAGAATCCTAAATATGTGTATTAAAATAAACCCTTATTCAAGTTTCTTGTAGGCAGGGGAAAATGTTTGAAAAAGAATTCAAAGGCAAAATAAATAAAAAAAGAAAGATAACAGATTTATTTTAGATCATAAATACACATTTAACATATAAAAACACTGTGTGTTCTAAAGGTGGTACATAATACAATAATAATATTTATTGTCCATATATATATATTATTCAAACTCTTTTTAGAATTTTGTATTCTCTGGGCAACAATATTTAAATAGCATGGGATACATTTGTGGTGATGTATTGTGTCCCCCAATATACTGTGTCTCCCAATAAATTTTACCTGAGGATCAGAGGATAAAGCCGGGCACTATATTAACATAGAAGTCAGGCAATGGTAGCACACACCTTTAATCCTATCACTTGGGAGGCAGGGATCTGTCTAGATCTCTATAAGTTCAAGGCCACACTGAGGAAGAGAGCCAAGTGTGGTGACACCCGCCTTTTATCCCAGTACTAACCATAGAGGTCTGGAGGTCTCTACAGACAGACAGAAAATGACCAAGCTGGGCAGGAAGGGGAAGTGATGTAGCTGGACAGAGAGAGCCAATAAGAGAACAGAACAGAAAGGAATATAGGCATGGGTATACAGGAAGTAGCTCTCTCTTTGGAGACTGAGGTATTGGTGAGGTGAAATTAGCTTGAGGCTTTTCTTATTCCTTTGATCTCTCTTAGGCTTTAACTCCAATTTCTGGCTCTGTGTTTTTTTATTTATTAAGACTGTTTAGCAATTTGTCTACATACATTAATAATGGTACCAATGGGCAAATTGAGCATCAATTGAATACTTTTTGGTAAAAGAGGTAAGAAAAGCATGTGTACTTTGTTCAACTCTCTATTCTATATTTAATAAAGAAATATGTTTAAGTTACAACATAGTGTCATAAAGTCTATATTATATCAGGGGATATGTACTGATGTGTTCCTTTTATTTGTCTTGATGATACAATACTGTGATACAAAACATGGAAAATGATACAGATGGAAAGAAAAAAGTTTATAATCAAATCTGTCCCCTCCCTCTGGTAGTAAGAAGAGAGCTAGAAACAGAATCTGACATGCTGGCTGAAGGCAGTGAGAGTGTGGATAGAATTATGAGAGGAATGTTCAGCAAAGCAGGCTCAGGTTATTAACATAACCACACAAAGACCACAGACTGTTTTTCTAATCCCTTCTTTACACTAGACCCTGATTATGATAGACATGCATAGATATTGGCCATTTTTCTTTGACCACCACTCACTATTTTATGTGGATGTCCTTATAATTAAATTTTTCTTACTGTTTGTCTTAAAACAAGACAAACAAGTTTTATGAGATGTGAAATCATTATCCATATGCCCTAGAATGCACAAGACAGAACACAGAATGTTGTATCTTTGTGGATAGGAATCAAGTGTGATTTCTTTTAAGTACATGCATAGTTTGAAATTAAATAATGGGAAAAGTATGTGGTATACAATTTTATCCTTTGTCTCTAATTTTTCCTTCGCTTACTATTAAGAGAAGCCTGTTTTTTTTGTTGTTGTTGTTGTTTGTTTGTCTGTTTGTTTTCCTATTAGGATGAACAGATTCTTCACAAAATAGATAATACTTATGGAAATGTTGTTCATGTTGCTTTCCCATTGCTGGCAGAATACCTTGTTCAGGCATAGTAAATGCCTTCCTGGAGTCTTGGTGGGAAACAGCATGTGAACTGATGGTGGTTTGTTTTCATGTGGTTTGCTTTGTGATCTGGATCCCTAAACCAGCTCTGGTCAGTACCATTACTATTCACTCAAGTGGGTTACAATTCTTTAAGCCGTGTATTATTTTCTATACTGCCATCATCATTCTGAGCAAATTTCTAGTTTGATGATCAAACCCATAAGGACATATTTGAGGGGACATTTTCCATCAGTTCACATTGAGTTCATACTTTTTTCTTCTTACAATATTTTAGTTGAAAAATAGTGTTATCATATATTATATCCAAATTATAATTTCCCTTCCCTTTACTCTTCCCAGTTCCTTCCTACCTCCCCTCCTGGGTCCATTCCCTCCCTGTCTCTCATTAGAAAAGAGCAGACTTTTAAGAGATAACAACCAAAGACAAGAAAGTAAAATTTAATAAAGGGAAGCAAAAACTTTCATATTAAAGTTGGACATGGCAACCCAACAGGAGGAAAACAGTTTCATAGGCAAGCAAAAGTCCCATTTGCACAGTCAGTGGTCCCCTAAAATTGCTACACTACATATGGTGTTACCTGGTAAGTCACTTACTCCTTTCCTCATACTTCACCCCACCTGTTGCCGTCTTATGGTGATATTTTATTTGTATTAAAATGTTATTTGTATGTTAATAAATAAAGTTGCCCGGGGGTCAGAGCTATTAGCAAGCCATAGGAAAGCAGGGCAGTGGTGGCATACGCTTTTAATTCCAGCACTTGGTAGGCAGAGCTGGGTAAGTCTCTGTGTGTTCAGGGATACAGCCATTATTGGATACACATGCCTTTAATTTTAATACCAATCATGGAAAACCTGGAGGCCTATACAGACAGGCCATGAGGAGGCGGTCATGTGGTTGTGTTTACAACCAATGAGAAGGCAGGACAGGAACTCTATATAAAGACTTTAACACAGGGGTAGCTCTGGTTCGGAGAGGTAGGACCACCACAGGAGGAAGGGTAAGGTTTTAGCTCTTAGCTCTGACCTCTTGGTTTTCTTCTTTGCATTGGTTCTGTGTTTCTTATTTAATAAGAAGGTTGGATACATCTACAAATGGCGTCCAACGTGGTGGCAAGAGTTTCCACCAAAAACCTGAGAAAAGATTCTAAAACGGAGCTAAAAACAGTTCCTAATTGTCTCTCTCAAATGAGTGGCAGCTGCCGGTTTGAGCTACTTGTGGGTTCCTAGCGTGCGTGCTTGACCTGCAGTATGGCAGGAATGAGTCCTCGCAATTAGCACATTAAGCTGCATGGTGGATTTAGACTTTGCTAGTACAAAACAAAAAAAGAGGTTTCTGGACTACACGCTGCTTGGATAAAAGCATAGACCCACAATAGCTCCCAGAGCTGGTGGTAAACGTAGCCATGTTGGGAAGCTGAGGTGGGCAGAGCCAGTAGCCACAGCTGCTGCAGTTTAAGGCAATAGATTCACAATAAGACAGATTCAGATGTAATAGTTTACAATGTGTGTAAAAGATACGTAGGCTTGAAAGAGACAAAAAAGATGATATATAGAGTTATAGAAACAAATACATAGTTTTAAAAAATAAAGTCTTTAAAGAGACAGTAAAGGTAGTATAAAAAATAAGCCATGTAAAAATGGATATTACACAGAGAATCTGGATTGTGTTGTCTTTGGGACTTTTAACTGCAGAAAAACATTTGATTGTAAAAGCTGTTGAGTTATGTCAAAATGTATACTTTAAAGGTACCTTGACTTCAAAATTTGGATATAAGGATATGTTGCTTTGGAAAAGAGTCTCTTTTGTTTCCACAGAAAGCCAGAGGCTATGGATTTGTTCAAGATTAAGATACATCAGGTTTGACCAGCCAAGACCCCCTGAAAGCCTCCAATGACACCATGGCCCAGATGATCCAACATCCAGAACGGTTTCAAGGCAACTGGCTCAGACGATACAGCCTCATGGACTATTCCATAATCCTAAAATTTTCTTTGTTTCCCCATAAGATACAGTGCCCCCCTCCAGCAGGAAGTAGTAAGAGAAGCTACGCCCAAATTCCCAAATTATATGTAATTTTACTTTGTTAAGGTTAAAACCTTCCTTTTTGAAAAAAAAAGGGGGAAGTGCTGTGGGATGTTCTGTATGTCAAATGTGTTGCTAATTAGTCAATAAATAAAACACTGATTGGCCATTGGCTAGGCAGGAAGTGTAGGCGGGACAAGGAGGAGAATAAAGCTGGGAAGTAGAAGGCTGAGTCAGAGAGACACTGCCAGCCGCCACAATGACAAACAGCATGTGAAGATGCCGGTAAGCCACGAGCCATGTGACAAGGTATAGATTTATAGAAATGGATTAATTTAAGCTATAAGAACAATTAGCAAGAAGCCTGCCACGACCATACAGTTTGTAACCAATATAAGTCTCTGTGTTTACTTGGTCGGGTTTGAGTGGCTGTGGGACTGGCAGGTGAGAGAGATTTGTCCTGACTGTGGGCCAGGCAGGAAAACTCAAGCTATACCGTCTCCATACCTACCAAGCTAGTTTGGGATCTATGGGTTTTGAACAAGCTTTGCAAGTGAGCAGGGTTTAGTTACTGACATGCCTCTTTCTTGTCCCATCCTTCACTCTGTCCACTTCCTTCTCTACACACAAGTGCCTATCTCCAGACCTGTGACCTGGAAGCTATTTTTGTGTGATTCAAATGCACAGCTCATTTGAAGTGTGATCCTAATTAGTTTCATCAATAAAACCAGGAGTCAAATATCAGGGTAATAACCTGAAAGATGAGAGAAGCAAAGGAGCGGCCACTAGTGACTACTTACCTCTCCGGATCATCAGACTGAAAAGGGCCCAAGATCCTGGCTCCGCACACTTTATATTCCTGTCTTCACCTCATGAGGTGGGATCAAAGACACGAGCCTCTCAAGTGCTGGGAGCTTTCAAGATAGATATCACCTTAAAGTGAAGGGATGAAGATTGTTTGGCAAAGACTTAAAAAGTGATATTATTTTATATTTAACCTAAAAATTATTAAATGTCCTCATGTGTATGAACAAAAGATATATTTCAATATATGTTTATTTACCTTTTATATACAAGGTGCCTAAACTTCAGTGCAACGCTCACTAATACCATGTATTTGTACAAGTAATTATAAGTTTATTTCATCTGGAGATAAAATGATGACTATAAAATATTTTAGAGTATAGTTTCATAGAATAAAATAATTATATCATGTGACAATAAAATGTATATTATGTAAGCAGGTACTCTTGTTTTTCTTGTATGAAGTGTCATTTTTACATTACGGATTCCATGAACTTCTGCAACTTGTCAAATTTTGTTGTTTTCTTATCCTGAATACTTCACCACACACTTGGAACACTCATAATCATTTCTTCAGTAAAGGTATATTTTGCTCTCTATGTGAACTAAACAAGAGCTGAACAAATACAGAAACAGTATACATAGTCTGTCTTAAAAACATATAATCAATTAACACTATGCATACTGAACAGCTTGTATTTAAGTATTAAGGAGTATATATGCATACCTATACCTATTAGAATGTATATATATATATATGTGTGTATATATATATATGTATGTATGTATAAACGTACATGTTGGCGTATGTATTAATACGTGTTTATATATAATAGGTATATATTACTATACCTCTTAGAATATATATATATATATATATATATATATATATATAATTGAAAAGAAGAAAACAATAGAGACCATGAGTTTGAAAAAAAAGGAGAGGCATATAGAAGATTTTGGAAAAGAGGAAAAGAATGGGAGAAATGTAATTATAATCTCAAAAATATAAGAAATCTTTTAAAAAATACAATTAAATGATACACTGACTCTTGCCTTTTTCAGTTTGAGAAAACATGGTGTGACTACAATGAAAATGTATACAAGTAAGGAATACTAGTGAATGATATCAATATGATGCACTGTGACAACCATGGTAACAAGATGTACAGAAAACTTACACAGAATGAGACCCTGACTTGTCAATTTCTCTTGGTATTCTCTAGGATGACGTTGAGAGATGAAATTGGTAGTATTTATTATGTTGGATATGCCTTTTTATGGAATAGACATTATTTACCATGTCAAATGTTTTTGTTTTCTAGTTTTTGTCTCATTGAAAAGATTTGGAACTCTCTAGGATCATTTTATATAGAAAACTCATTTAAAGGCTCAAAAAATGATTGGCTCTTCTTGTGCATTGCAACCAATTCATTTGTAGCAAGTATCAATCCCCATTTTCATGAACGTCATGTAAGTGAATATATTCATAATAGTAAAAATATTTATACATTTTAAAAAGATGTTACTTAGGATATTGAATCATTTATTGTATGAACAATAATGGATCACTGGGGAAAGAAATGAATCTGAATGTTCAAATAAGTAAAAATTATAACATTATATAAGTTAATCAATATTGAAAATAGTAGAAATGGAAAGAGTGTCTGAAGGTTTGATAATTTTGAAAGGTGGAATAGACCAGATTTATTGGGAAAAAATCTATTTGCAATGTAGGATTAGAAAGCTAAGCTAGCATGTTTGAAGCCATTTGGTTTATATGATTAAAATGTAGAGTTAATGGATGTATCAGAGGTTAGAAATAATGCTGCTTACTATATAGTATAGGTCTAGGGTTGTGATTTAAATTTTAGAGTCTTCCAATTATTAGTCCTCCATCTAAGGATATGAAATTAGATGGATGATGCACTTGGTAAAGGATATGAGAGGCAAAAAAGCTCAAGGACTGAAGTCTAGGCAACATTTCCATGCCTAAGATTATCAGGAACTGAGTACAGAAATTAGTTTCTAGATTACAGTATTATTAACATTTGGGGCTAGACAAACTTTGGAGTGTTATCAGATGTAGAGTGTTTAGCAGCATCATTGTACTTTATCCACAAGAATATAGCTGTAAATCTTTTCCTAAGGAAGAACAAATAAAAGATTTCTCCAATGTATAGAGTAAAGGTATAGAACAATCCCAGGTTAGGGATGACTGATGTATACTCTCAGAATATAAACCAGATAAATGGTATGCTCCATATAGCCAACCACAGGAAGAAACTGCCTGAGTGAAAAATCATTGTGTTAAGACATAAGACCTGCAACATAGACTCCAAATGAATGGTGGAAGTTGGTGATCTAATTCCTAGACTATTCCAAATGCTTCATGGCTTGTCTATCTGCTTCCATTCTTGTTATCCTGTAATCTGATATCCACACATTAGTTAGGGTGAGATAAATAATATTTATGCTTATTCAATCCTGTTGAAGTTCTCAGTTCATCTGAGTATTATGCCAACAAAAAGTCTTTGTAAAACTGACATTGTCTGATGCTCATAAAGCACTATTAATTCTGTACCTCATCTACAATTCTTTTTCTGGCATATTCCTCTAAATATTTTCCACCAATTATCAATGAAATAACAGCTCAGAGATATGGTATCTTCCTGTTGTTGTCTACTATTCTATATGATTACAGGACTTATTCCGTAAATTAGGTCTATTATTTGATCACATGGACTGTTCTCAAAATGTTTTCTATTAAGATAATATTTTAAATGCCAAGACCCGGTTTTCTATTTTATTTATTGCTATAGCACTTTATACATTAAAATACGTTTGACATATATCTTAGTATGTGTCTGTGAATAGTAAAATTAAGGCTCATGTGAGAAATTCGCTATTACTTACTGTTATTCCTCCAAGTAGAACACAGTAGACAGACCTCAGCACTTCATTCTTCTATGTTATGTCATTTATTAAACTGATAAATACTATTTTCTCTCTACAGTGAATGTGTACAATCAACTTCTAGAAGATATAATCACAAGTGGAGACATAATAGTACAATTGTTTTGAAATCAGAGGGAATACCATCTGTGACGTCACTTTCATTTAGCTTAATAACATTGAAATTTACTTATTTACATTAAATTATTGGTTCCTACCTGAACTCACATGTGTTATAACTCAACTAAGACAAAAGTGCTTATCAAAATATGTAATCATGTATGCCGACTTTAGTAGTCATGAAAATTTCAGATTAAGTGTGATTTCTCTCCATGGGAATGTTACCATTTAAGGTTGACATTTGGTCAGAGTGAAATAGATAATCAAGTATTCTTCCTAGTGTAGGTGTGTGCCATCCAATCTGTGTCAGAGTTCAAGTAGGACAAAGGTAGAGAGAAGAGCATTCCCTACTCTCCATTTTCGAAGCACATCTATTTATTTTATGTTATGTGAAGAGTCATTAATTACTGATATTTTCTAAAACAACTTCATTATTCATAATCACAAATATTGTGTCTACAAAACACACCCATTCCAATCTAATCAAACTTTTCTCTATTATTATAGAGCATCAAGTCAGTCTTGTAACATTATTTTGAGTTCAGCACAATAACTGTCTTCAAGAGCAATTCCATAGTTCTATAGAAATGAATTTCTTTTTTGCATGCATATTTGTGTTCATATTTATCTATGTGTACTCCTTTTCATTATTGTGTTTTCAATGCCTCATAGATACATATGTAGATGTAAATTCATGTAGTACATATATTGTCTGTATTCCAATATATAAATTACAAAAAAAGATAAGCATTCTTTGAAACAATACTCAATTTTTGTATTAAAACTTCTCTTAATCTTAGTGTTTGTTTTATAATCAAGACTACAAATTAGTCAACAAAATGTAATGAAGAAATACTAAAGATTGAATATTATAGAAACTGATAGCTTTGCCAAATTATATTTTGTTTAATATGCCAATGTTTTACTAAAAGTGTCTAAATTTTCAACTTTTTCATTTTATAATCACAGTTTAGATACATTTAGAGTATATATATTTGGATATAAACTATGTAAAATATGAATAGTACATTATGGAAGAAATTTTTGGGATTTCAGCTAAGTATATGAAACCTAACAATTTGAAGTAATTGTGATCACAAAACAGATAGAAGCATGTCTGAATTCAAAAGCAGCATCAACAAAATTTGCAATACACTCATGATCTTGGAATGTTTCTCTAGGGTAGCATTCACATTGGTGTTTTCTGTTAAACTATTTTTACCTCAGTTAACAGTGTATGCTATAAGATAAACTACATTGTCAATTTACACAAAATTATATGTGTTATGTATCAGAGTAATCTTTCAAATTTTCATTTTTGGAATGAGTAATGATCTAGTGGAGATGTGATTTTGCTCTATTATTTAGACATAATGGGAGAACTGAAATAAATTAAACACATTTAGGTGAAACATGACTGATATCTTCTTGATAAAAACCTACTGATAATTCCAGCACAACAGTATGCCTCTTCACTTGTGATATTTATTCTGCTCCATATTTTAAAGAGCAGTAGGATATTACAATTTCAGTGATGGAACATTAATTGTACATTTGTGCATAAAATATAGATCCACCAAAATTTACTTGCAGAATTCAGTCTGTGCTTTTGCTTTCTCTATATGAACAGTGCTATTCAAAACGACACTGTACAATCTTATAAATTAATAATAAAACTAAGGAACAAAGTTAGCACAACTCCAAGCACTTTATGTATTATGAAAGAGAGTTTTAAAAAAGGATAGTTTCAGGAGGACTTTGCTTAGAAAACTCTCCAAAGAAGAGTGTCACCGAATCAACTGCTGAAGCGTGTTTCATTTGCTTCATTGTTTCTGGGTTTACAGGATTCCATGGATTTGAATTCCCTTTCTTATTAAAGTTTTATTTTCCAAAATTATTTAACTTAAAAATACAATCCTCTAAATTCCCCCCATGAACTTTATTTCTCACAAAATTTTAAAAGGAAGTAACTTTAAAAGTAAAACGTTTCCAAACTTCTGTCGAGTGTTTATTGTGTGAATTAAGTAGAGCAGAATGAAGAGCAGTTGCCTTGA